TATGATAAAGATATAAACATGTTTATATATCAAGAACACCATTGGGGGAAAATGTATGACAAAGGAGAAAAGAATTCACTAAGACGAAAATGTTTAGAGTGTGCCTTGATCTCCACGTTATCCACGTTAAATTTCCGCCCTGGCTCTTAAAATATTTCACAATTCCTGGCAGATCTTCTATTTTCATAGTGTGGAATATCTAATAACAAAAGTGATGAAAACAAAAAAAGAAAGAGTCCAAATGAAATCGGTTAGATTATATACAAAAAAATAAATAAATAAACCATTCCCAGCATCCCTTGTTCGTGTGCATGTGAAGTCGTAACAACAACAAATTTAGTCTGATGAAGTCCTGAAGGGCGAAGTGTGTCACATGAAAGTTTTTTCCCACTTTGTCATATATATATATATATATATATATATATATATATAATATTATTATTATTAGTAGTAGTAGTTTATGCATGCAGTGACGGCACATATTTGCTATTTCTTTATTAGATTTTTCGTGTGAATCCTTAAATGTCATTTAATATCTATTTTTCATGGAGACGGTCTTTTCCCTTTCCGGCTTTATAAACATCTTGGAAGTGTTATAAGGATACTAACGAAATTAAAAGTTACAGATAAAATAGATACAAGTAAACTTGGCTTATTTTAAATAATGATATATAAGGAAAACCCAAAGGAACCAACCCACCTCCCTCTCTATTCACCGACGATCACTCCGATGCTTGTAAAGGCAATTCTCGTTCCTTGCCCAGTTTTGAGTTGGCCAGTTTCATGAAAAGTCAAGACTGCGAAGAGAAACGTTTGCTGCTGTTGAGAAATGCGTTCTTTTCGGAATGCTTCTGTTTTTCTTTATTTGCAAATATCGGCTGCTATCTTTTCGCATTTTCTTTTCTAACAATCTGCATGAAGAGTTTACACCACTTTGCATTTTCTTGTCCCTTTTCATCTTCTACATCATTTCTGACTGACTCGCTTCGGGCTGCTGCTGCTTCTATCTCTCCCACAAACTGTTACTTACGATTACAGACCGACATGAGTCATAGCGGCTTTATTTTCGCACACAGTTTTTTTTCTTTCTTTTTGTGCTTTTTCGTTTTGTCTTTGGTTGTATGTAATAAACTACTTAACAACTGACATGAGACTAGTTTAAAAAATAGTTTCTTGAAACGAGCCGAGTACTGATTAAACCCGGTAAGCTTAACGCGCCTAAAAGCTAACGAAGTTTTCGTCTATTTAAGTAACGTCATTTTTGTTGTTGTTAAAGACGCGCCTTGAATTTACAATAAAAGGACTAAATTAATGCTAGAAGAACCTGGACTTGCGAAAATAGCCATGACAGATCTATTGTATAATAACGCTAATAACATCGAAGGAACTATTTTGCACATAAGATACTATACGAGGGTTTTTTTCATGTAGGACTGTGACAAAAGATGCGTGTTGAGGTGCTAATCAGAAGCTGGATCTCCAGTCACCAATCTTCTAAATGTTGCCTGATTCTATGCTTGAAGTTAGGGGAATCCAATAGTCAGTGTTTATCGATACAAAACGCTTTTATCACTTGTCTCAGATTAGGGCGTAGTTTCTAAACTTCAATGAAAAGACATGTTTATCAGTCTCGAAGATATTTCTACAAAAGTAAAAGAAAGAATTCAGTTAGACTGTATTCAATACGTTGGTATTATGAAATAGGGATTGTCAAGTTTTTGCCAAAAGGAAAGCATTCATCTTAAAAGTGCCTAAGTAAAATGATTCGATTAGCGGTATCGATCCAGGTCCATATGCGATAAATAATACACTACATAATACTTTTTAAATGGTAACTTTCAAATGATGTGCACGTCACCAATATATGAACGACACGAATTTCATTCCCAGAATGAACTATTTCAATGAAATCGGGTAAATCACTTAAAATGACACTGTTTTATGTTTGTTACTGACACAAAACAAATAGATTTATAAATCGTACGTCAAGACTTTATAGAAAATTTTCAACATGTGGTCTGTCTGTATCTCTGCAAATTTCAGATCTGTCCTTGGCGTTGCGAAACACATTTTTCATGATTTATCTTCTGCACTCCTTACTGAAGGCGTTCTTTATGCTCAGCTAAACTATTGATCTTTTGACTATAAACCATCGCAAAGAAAGCTGGGTAGGTGGGTGATGGGTCGTCAACAAAGATGCGTTCTCGTGTATGCATTATTAATAGGGTTCTGAAAGGGAATTAAAATAAATTATAAAAATTATAAAGTTCTTAAAATTAGCAATTTATGCACTTCTAACATATATTAAACATGATGAACAGAAATAAAAAAAGTAGATAGTTAATGCTGAGACACCCTGTATATTAAGGAAATGACTTCTAGTTCTCTGGTTGACTATCTAATGCTCATTTGAAAGTGGGTCATAAGCATATTAGTTTTTCACTGAAATTGGCGACAGAAGAACAACTACGAATTTACTAAACGTAGCTTAGTTTTGACGCAAGTATTGTGCAATCTGTATGAATACTATTCATAAGAACTACAAAACCAGCTACACACCCAAAGTTTATGTAGGCCGCCAGGTAGCCGAACGCTTCTTCGAGCAATAGTTTTTCATTGCCCTTGAAGGAACCGTCACCTATTTGAAAAAAACAATTATCAAACCCTATATACAGAGTAAATAAAAATAGTGCCCGATCTCTGTTTTTACGACTTGAAGAAGAGACTTGAAGCAACAGAAATGTGGTTCTACAGAAGGACGGTGAGGATACCGTAGATGGAACATGTGGGTAATGACAAAGTTTTGGAGAAAATGGAAACAAAACGGAAATTAATACTTGACATCAGGAAGAAACATTTGAGGTTACTGGGTCATATAATGAAGAAGGAAGGCGAAACAAGGCTTAGGAAAATTAACAGAAAGACAAAGTTTATTAAGAGCTAAAAGGGAGAGGAAGTTGTGGAGAGCCATGATCGCATATTTCCTGAGGGTACACAGCACATAAAAATGATTACCGTATATACGTGTGTATAAATGAAACATATATATTGCGACCCCTGACTTTTTGGCCTGAATTTTAACACCCCCCCCGGAAAAAAATTACCTGTGTATAGTGCAACCGGTCATGATTTTTAACCTCTTCAAATAATTACCTGTGTATAGTGAAAACCCCTTATTTTTTTTGCGTAAAGAACTGATTGTTGTTATGGAATTGTCATCAATGGTCAACTGAACTTGTTTTGTTTCATTTTTATCTTACATAATTTAGTCACTTATAAGACGTCACATCAAGTTACTATTTAAAATTGGGAAAGGAAGTTATATTATGAAATGGATTAAGTTCGACAATTATTTATTTTCTGTTTAAATATGTTTTTTGATATATTTTTAAAAAATATATTTTCTAAAAACAACGTAAACAGAAACTGAAAATATATTCATTGTCTTTCAAATTATGTCTCACTGATCGCAAATAATATTGAATTTAAAACACAGCTGTTAAAATAATTTAAATAAATTATAAAAACTAGCAGTATACTCGAGTATATACGGTATTTGTTTACTATTTGTATTACAGAGTACAAGAGTCGACTGCAGATGTGATCGAGTTAATACGAACGATCCTTTCCTTAGCTTCATAGTATAGGATTCACCAGGGATACATATCGTTTTGAATACAGGGTTTTCGTTTTCTTAGACCAGTTGCCACCCAGGATATAAAACCAAGTCTCTCTTACTATTTATCCATAGTTGGGGGGAGAAGAGCTAGATTCATACCTTTCCCAGGGATATTAGAGTGTACACTTTTCTGAATGGTACGGAGTTTTTCATGATAAACAAGTTTATTCATGAGCTCCCAAACAGAGACATCTCGAAATGTAAGGTCCCCAGGAGCATGCCGGCATCTCAATTGGACTCAGAAACTTTTAAATCTTTTAGTCATAACTTATAAAACTAAATTAACTAAAGAAATTAATAATCTGTACGAAAAATATTAACAACATGGCTTCTCAGAATTGAATTTAATCATTTCATTTTACCCCAAGCAAGGTGATAATGCCCCTAAGACGCAAGGGTGAGAGGGAATGAAGATGAAATGTTCGTGATAGATAATAACGAACAGGATTTCGGAAAACAGAAGATGGTGATTGACTATGCATTTACATTTTCGAAGATTGTAGATGGCAAGGAAGCAAGAAATCGAAAGGGAGTTCCTCAGACGAGAAAAGGAATTATTAAAATAAAACTTACGGTTACATCTAACAGTAAAACGATAAGTGTTGATGGGCTTAGGTATTTTTTTTTGCAACCTGGTTTATTTTTATGAATCGTAGTGGTCAAGGATAAATTCTTGGGATGGAAAAGGTCTAGAATAACAGTAACTGCCCAATGTCAAAGTCAATATAAGTCGGTCGGACTCACAGTTGCCCACCGGAAGTGCCTGAAGGGATTTGGTGCTACTTTTAACTTACCATATATTTGTTAAGGAACTTTCAATATTTAGATTACCTTTCCTTCCTTAGGAGCCATGCGTGATGCCTGTTTGGGCGATCATGTCTCTTTTCAATTCATGATTGATTTGGTAGAACTATTTCCTCAGTAGACAGCCGGTACATTCTCTCGGAGATTGGTTGCCAACGAAAGTTATAGAACTCAGTCTATCCTGTTATTTAACTCATTGCTGGAGGGGGAAGAAGAGATGGATTTATATCTTTTCCAAAGGTATTTGTACGTAAGCGAACGTAACGAACTTGGGTGGAATTCGAACTCGGTTCTTCTTTTTCTTATTCCTAGCTGCAGAGATCGGAATTTTCTTCCGATCTCCGCAGCTCAGAATAAGAAACCGGAGAACCGAGTTCGAATTCTACTCAAGTTAGTTATGTTTCAACGTGATATGGCCATAAGTTCATTTAGACTATATAGCTTTTTAAAAAAAAAGACAAACGTTTATCAATATATAATCATTATATTGGAACTGATATTCCATAAAAATATTGGCTTACGGTCATATCATTTTGAAACACCGACTCTCGTTTGGTCACCGAATTTAAGCAATGTTGAGCCGGTCAGTATCTAGATGGGTGACTGCTTGAGAATACTAAGTGCTGTAAGCTTGGATGTACGGGTGGTGTAATGGATAATGGCCCGGAATTGGAAATCTGAGAGTCATGGTTCAATTTCAGTCGGGTTTGTTCTATTCACTTACGCGCAAATATTCTTGTGAAAGTCATGAATACTTGTTCTCCTCCTAGCTATGGGTTAATTAGCAGAACAGAGGATATAAAAAAAATGACGTAATTTTTCAGTTTACGTCGACCACTGATGAAAAAAAAAAAAAACAACTTTTAACCAAAATTTCGAACGTGCTAGAAAGAATTACTCCATTTTAAATGTTTTCTATCAGATTCCAACAGCTCTTCGAGTTACTTTGAAAATTTAGAGACGGCGTGTCTGCGTGAATGCAAATGTTTTTATTAGCGTCTAACGTCTTTATGACACCCGTCAAATACATTAAAAAAAATTGACGTCATTTTGAAAAAAAAAAAAAAAAATTAGTAGAACTTTTATCAGTAAGTCATTTTTCTCAAAAAATTATTACAATTTAAAACTATTTTCTGACTCTGAATAACGTGCAAAAGGTTGATAAGTCGTAAAAAATAAACCAGTCAATTCACAAAACTATTAATTTGTTTCTATTGTTTTGTTTTGATCTGTCTAAATATTTTTCAGGTGATGGATGGATATCAGATGTTCCTCTGATTCGGAATTTGAGAACTGACAGTAAGTTACAAAACACTTGTTTTATTTACTAGAATTCGTGCAAAACATTGCCCAATACTCCAAATCGTGGATCCTACATTTTGTATCTTTGTTGTTTTCCGCGTGAGCATTTCTATGACAGTATCGATATTCTTTACTAAACCAACGCGTCACTTTTTTTTTGTCTAAAAAGCATACTTTCCTTTCGGTATAAGCCGTAGGCAGACGTTGGAAGACCATTACAATCAACAAATTCTCGTGTGATTAAACTCGTTTATTTTTAAAGATACAATAACAGTCGCAGAAAATTTGCTGGGTAAATCATCACGTTCTCTTCATGCAATTTAAAAGAACAGGAAGAGTTTTAGAATTCGTAAACGTTCGAGCTCTTTCATTTGTTTATCTTGAAAACATTTCATTGTCCTCTTGTCAATAGTCCATGCCTCTTACGTATACTGTTGTCAGAGCAAAATATGTCATTATCACTCAAGAAACAACTTTCCAAAATCACCCTCACAAAAATGCCTGAAAAATAGATAAATTAAAACCAGAAAATTATATATAAATATCTTATATAAATATGATATATATATATATATATATATGATATATATTCCTTATATATACACCTAGTGAGCCAGACAAACCTACCTAGGTTTCACCTAAACGGATTGTCAGGAAAGTTTTCAGAAACGAGTCTAGTTATCTATATATATATATATATATATATATATATATATATATATATATATATATATATATATATATTATAAATATGATATATATTTATATAATATAAGTATGACTCATATAATATAAATATGATATATATTCATAATATATATATTTATATATATATATATATAAATATGATATATATTCATAATATATATATATATATAAATATGATATATATTCATAATATATATATATATATATAAATGTGATATATATTTATAATATTATATAAATGATATATAATATAAATATTATATATAATATATATATTATATTAATATGATGTGTGTGTATATATATATATATATATAGAGAGAGAGAGAGTTCTCTTTGCAAGATCAATATTTCATTTTTTACAGTAAACAAACAACGTTTTTTTGAGTTTTTTTTTTAGAATGTTTCTTTTAATGATTTTTAAAGCTTATGCGTGCTATTTCAAATTAAATTTAATTGGGAAAATTGGAATTAGATATAAACAGCGTAGATACAGAATGGAACGACTTTGAATTTGAAAATAAGAGCTTCCTTGTCACTTCTGGTACTTAGGCTATCATTGCCCTCTTCCTGTCCATTGTATTCCTCCCAAACCCTGTTCTACCATCCATTTACTCAAGTATGTAACGCGCTGTTTTCCTCTGACCCTCTTTCTCTCAATCTGTCTTGTGAGTAACCGATTTTATAAACCCTTCTTCCTCATTATTTGCCCCAGAAATTTCAACTGCCTCTTCCTGATATTAAGTTCCATTTTTTGTTTCCATTTTCTTTAAAACCTCGTCCATCCATGTTATCCTCACCATCTTTCTGTAGAACCACATTTCTGTTGCTTCAAATTTCTGCATCTTTGAGGAGATTGTCCAGCATTAGTTGTGAAGAGATTAAAGAATTAACAACAAAATATACGGTTGGGCTGCAGGTGCAAATTTCCACTTTCTTCCTTTTTTTTTCTTCATTTGCATATAGAAAAGATATTAAAGCAAGATTTGGGTTGCATATGCAATTGGCATTTATTGGTTATTTTTTTTAGAAATACATTAATAGAAAATAGAACTGGAACACTCCGCACAGATTCAAAAATAAAAAAGTATATAAAAATACTCGCACACCATGTTAACAGTGCCCTTTTGGCATTAACAGGTGTGTAATTGTCTCATGTGCCATTTTGGCATTAACGGATGTATATTGTCTCATGTATACGATCATGCAATTGCCGAATGCAATCCGGTGATACATTATTACACACTTCTTGCATATGTCGATACAATACAGTAATAGATGCACTAACTGAATAAGCTTTGTCTTTTCATGTTGCCTACATGTTCAAAAACGGACACGTCTGGCGATCGAATATTACGGATATCATGAGGGCAGGCATTATACTGCTGGAACAGTACGCCGCTTTCTTGTTACAAGGATGGTATCATCTTTCTTCTTTTATGTGCCGTGTCCCTTCAGAACGTAGGCGATCCAGGCCCTTCACATCTTCATGTTCCTTGTTGCTCTTACTAAGTTTTATCTTTGTGTTAATTCTCCTAAACCTCGTTCTACATCCCATTAACGCGCTGTTTTCCTCTGTCCTTGTGTGCACCAAAATTTTCAAGCCCTCCTTTCTCATTAAGTGCCACAGAAATTTCGACTGTCTCTTCCTGATGTTAAGTATAAGTTTCCTTTTTGTTTTTATTTTCTCTAAAACTTCGTCGTCCTCGATGCTCATGGCATTGTTCGACACTGCCTCCACTAACACAAAAGGCGAGAAGAGCTTTAACTTATGACTCCACAAGTCATGATTCCAGGAGCTGAGTGTTATGTGCTATGGGCGAATACACTTTGGAAGATGTTGCTCTCACACATGCGAACAACCATCACTCACGTGATCGCAGAACCTGTTCTCATCACTGAACATTAGATTGAGTCATTCGATAACTCAAGTAATTCTTCGCGATACTACGATGATGTTGCGATGTAAGTGAAAGTCTGGCTACAGGCCTGTAGGCATAATTTAAGAAAACGATTCCCAACGGTCTGCATTTACACGCTTGGAACTACGAATAGATATGCTTTGCCCTATGTTGTGGACGCCATACGGATGGTCAATGCTGTCCTTTCTATGCGTCGATCGTGGCGAGCATATTCATAACGTTGCTGCCCATAACCTGATCTATGGATGTGGGAAATGTTCATTTGGATCCTGTTGCTAACATCGAAGCACCACTGACGCATCATATCCAGCATGTGCTTTTTTTTCTTTTTTTTTACTTTAAACTCACTCCTTAATCTTTTGTTCAAGAAGGGTGATGAAAAGTTTTTAGTTCTACCCACGTTACAAAATCTGACCAAATAACCAAACATCATAATTTTGCGGGGAAGGGCTGATTTGTTGTCCTGAAAATATCCATCTCTTATATATAAATTTATCTTAGATATAAGAACTTTTATTATATCTCTAAAAATTTATAGATTTTTTTTCAACATCATTGTAAACATATGATTATCTATTCCACTTCGTTGTATTTAGTTAGCATTACAACTCTATATAATTTTAATGAACAAATCGCAAAATATTTTGATTAATTTTATTTGAACGAATTACCTTACTGTTTAAACGTGTTAAATGCGATTATTGAGTGAAATTTTTCTCCCACTACGTGGGTTTCTAATAACAAATGCACTAGATTAATAACAATTGTACAGTTATATTTTGGAGAAAAAAAAAGTTACTTTACAAGGGAGATAAGTTAAACAAAAACAAATCTTTTAAATATTTTACTATCAATTTTTAAAGATATATGGTTATTATTTACAGTGTTCACTTTTATCAAAATGTCTCTTGTTATTGGAAACAAATAATCACAAACGATTTTCAATATTTGTCTTCCAGGCTAGCTTCTTCCTTTCCGTGTTTTTGCCAAAATGGTTGCCAAAGCGAGAAGCTTGCTGCAGTTCATATTTTCCGCTTCGTTTCTTGTCTTTGCCGCCACAGAAAACGATTTGGACAGAAAAGGTGAGTTGTTTTTATTACGACATTCATTCCCGTCTTCATTAGACGATATTCCATACACTCAATAGTTGTTAGGTCGACTCCATAGCCCGATGTTGACAGTATTACGCTCGACTACCGCTGACCAGTGGGAAAGAGAAGTTCTTTAACAAATATCAATCTCAAAGATTTAATTTTTCCTGTAGACTAAACTATTCTTTCAACTGTAATCGTATCGTATTTGTTAAACGACCAGAAGAAATCGTAAAGGTTCTTATTTCATTGGGGAAACACGAATCCAAGGAAATGAGCAACAAACAGTTATTTCAGAGTCATTGATTTATATTAATTTAATGTTATATTTTCGTTGTGAGGAATAAAAATCGAAGCGAAGAGACTCAGAAACTTGAGTGTCTTACTGATAAAGGTATCGTTGGATCTTCTCTTGTATGAGAGTATTTTATCCTGCTGCCACCCTGTTCTTAATGTCCACATTTTAACAACTACAAAGTAAACTGAAAACGAAAACGTTTACAGGGCCTTGTGGGTGATTAATTATTTTCAACCCTGCACCATTTTCCCCCCACAGACAGGTTCAGACGGGTTACATTTTTTTAAATTCCACCAGTTCAGACCTTTACAGCTAGGACCTACCATACAATGTACACATGGTCGAATCATAGTCATTCCCCCTCGTATTCCATTTGTAAGAAAGAAGTTCTACTCAGCTTCATTCCGAGAACAGGAACTGTATAAAACAGGTCCTCGAGAAGATCTCTACAATCTTAGGATCATCCGTTATCTATCCTACATAAGCTCTTAATCTACAGTTATTTCCTCCTCTGACGTCCATACCCCAACCTCATGCACTAACCCTCTATATTAAGTAGCTTTTTATTGGGTGAAAATTTAATAAAATAATAACATAATTCGTTAAGAAAAATAGGAATAAAAGGCTTGCCTATCACCCAGTTCAAAATCGTCCCCCGTCTTTGGAACGGGAGTAGAGGTTTAAATATATTTTTTTTTAGGATTGGGTTTCCAGCTTTTTCTAAAGTATTTTTCTTTAACACAATCTAAATCGTCCGCAGTAGCCCCCCTCCCATCCTTGAGTCTTATCGTCGTTATCACCTTGCTTGGGATAAATTGATAAAAAGAGAAAAGTTAGAACGAGGATACTTTTGAAAATTGTAAAACGCACAGTCAATTCAGTCCTTTGCACATTCATTTTTTCTCGATGTAAGCAATTTTCTATAATTGCAGTATAAACCACAATTTGACTCTGTGGGTGTTGAAGCATGTTTGAAAACAAGCAGCCATGTTGGAGATGAGAAAATCACACTGATTTGCAGTGTGAAGTCGAAACAGTTCTGACGATAAAGGGAATTTTTTTTTATTCTTATCTGTTTAGTTTGAAACAAGAACGTTCCACCAATGATTATGATAAATTTTCAATTGAGGACTGAAATTAAATCGACTTCGATGAAGAGACAGAATAGTTGCATTTGCAGGACACCCAAATTGCGTAATACGCCCAAATGTTTAGGGATGAATGCCGTTTTGGAAGCTAGTTTCATAAACAAATTAGTAGCGGGTTCGATTTGTTAAAGGAATCTACCAATGAATATTCTATAACTGTAAGTGAAAAAAAAAAATAAAGCCCATGGACGTTATTTTTAACTAACAATTTTTAAAGAACCATTTCAACCAGAAATCCCTTTCCTTCTTCATCTATGTGCGGTATCTGCTCAGTATGTGGGAAATTCTTGCTCTCCACAGCTTTTCTTTTCAATTAATTCTGACAGCCAGTTAAATGCCGTACGTGATACGTGCTATTGGCGATCTTTCGATTCATGATTGACTAGGCAGAAGATTTGCCCGCAGTAGGTTGCCGTTTCTTTATGCGGTAGACTGGTTCCTTGGGTGGCAATCAATTTGTCTTGATATTCAACCCATAGATAGGAGGATGAGATGAATTCATACCTTTCCCGATTGGAATTCAAATAATTACTGTTGATAAATAACATGAAAGTTATTCGATATATTTTGAGAAGAATTCTACTTCGGATTGAAGTAATAAACATTTATGACAGCCATTTCTTTCTTTTACATCATCCATTAAACATATGATTACCAGGATTGTCCTCATTTGAGGGGTCTGTTCAAAGAACATAAGCTGTAAGTGTCCGTGTAATTTTTTAATGTTAGCCCGAAGTCAATTTAATATGAATCTAGACTAAACGATTGGCCAACATTTAATTGCCAATCCAGTCTCTACCTACATTTTTATAACGACAGTTTAAATGTTCTAAACGCTATAAAGTCTTCAACTTGAGATTCATGAAGCTGTTTCTAGAAGCCAATCGTTGCTTTTCAAGCAAAATGATTTAAACATTACCCGGTATAACTTCAGTTGGACAACTATCTATATTTTTGTTTGTTTTTGAGAAGCCAGATAAGGATTAATTTTACAAAGTGTTTCCCTTTTTTTTCTTTTTGTTGGTAATTCCGTTTGCTTGTTTAAGGTTCTAAAATTTATCAATCATCGTCATTCACAAGGGTTGGACGAAAAGTTGGCAGATTAAAAGGATTTACATTATATTTTCTTTTTCCGTAGTAATTTCCAACAGGTCTACGATTCTTCATGCAATGCTTAACTTTTGTAACACAAAATTTCAACAAATTAATGGTGTGCAGAATTAATCTCAACTTAACCCACCGCGACGCGAATGAGTTCGAACTTTTATTGTCGGTAACTCCAAAACGGTAGATTTTATCAAAATTTCTTTGTTATTTTCCAATTAAGCATGTATATTTACACCTAAATGGAACTATTCGGGAATTTTTTATTGGAAACTGAGCGCGAGGCTTGAACTACAAATTATCCTTGAGTTGAAATTAGTTCTGTCACCTAAATGCTAGCATTCATGAAGAAAATACAGTTAAGTTTTAGTCTATCTAGTTATACATCCGTACGAGTGTGGGACAATGTTTATCTGTTTGTTGTTTTTGTTTTTTTTTTTTTTTTACCTGTTCAGTGTGATTAATTGAGATGTGTTGGATTAAGTGCATTGACAAAGAAGAGGGGTGCGGAGAAAATGCTTTTTGTCCCTATTAAGATATGGAGTTATTGATTTACGTACATACATGTCTGAAAAAATGAGATTAGATTATACAGGCTGATTGAAAAGTAACCCCCTATTTTATGTATGATGAACTCTGCCGTTTAACTATAATTTTTTCACGAGAAAGTCCATTATACATAAAATAGGGAGTTACTTTTCAGTAACTCTGTAATATAATATTTTCAGGTAAATAAAATTTAATTTTTTTTCTAACAATTCAATTATTTTTTAAAACGTTTTTATTTAATCCCCGAAGAGTGCGAAATTTTAATAAGACTTATGATTCCATACTTTCAACCCTCAAAATGCCAAATTTGTTTTAAAAAGAAAAAAAAAGTACCGAAAATTACTTCATAAACTTGTTGGAAATTTGTATCTACACTATTCAACAATATACTATTTGATGACAGTAGTGCAGGTAGATTTTGGAACCGTGGTATTGCACCCAGTTTGAAAGTTGGGCTTTGACATGATAACGATACAAAATATTTTTTCCCACGTCGTTACCGTTTTTGAGGAGTTTAAAATATTAAGTTTAGGTTAAAAAAAAAACGTAGCGTTGGAATTTAATTCCGGTGATCAGTGAAAGCCTTATAACATTTTTAATTTACTGAAGCTTTACAAATTTTATATGGAAAAGATTGTATGGAACGAGCACATCATTGTGCCATCAAACAAGACCTTCATTTACTTCAAAGGGAAATAATACTGAACAACATATTAATATTATAATGTAATATGTTATACAGTACAGTATTTTAGTTCGATTTTCAATAAACAATGCAAATTATAAAACATTTTGTCTTATTTGTGCCGAGCAGTATTATGGTATTCTATGCACGTTTATCTATTTTTTGTTTTTGTTTTTATTAATTATTATCTCTCCAATCAAATCTTATTCATTAAGTAATGAATTTTTGTAACCTTTTACAATTTTTTTTTACAGTTTTTAATAATCGAATACAGTAAAATAATTGCATATTTTGCTTGTGGTGAGTCATAATTAGAATTCTGGTTTGAATATAATTTCTATTCAATATATCAACCTTATTTGGATTTATTCTTGAAATTGTAACATTTTGATGTAGTTTTTGTTAGCGGATATTACATATTTCTCTACATATTTTTTTAGACAATATTTAAAAGTAAATGCTCAAAGTAAAAGCTATGATTCTAATTTTTAGTGTCACTATTTATCATATCGAACCCAACGATGATTTTCTAAAAAGACACAACAAAAAACACACAAATCAAACTGTCCTACTGACACAATGGTTCAAAATATCTTGTCTTATATGCGAAGTTGACCAATCTGGCAGGTGAAGCTTCTGCGTGCTGTCAAATACGGTAAAAGTTAATTTGACCGTAACATTTTCTTTTTTTTTTTTATTTCAGTAACATTTTATATAACCAATTAAATGCCATTTATATCCGAAGTCATTCTGTAAGACACACATTTACCTTTTGTACGTTTTTTAACGAAAAAAAAAAAAGACAAAAAACAGTTTTATATACATGCACTCATCTAGCAGACAAGCGTAAACCACATTTTCTAGTGATGGGGATAAAAATCTTTATTAGTCGATCTACCTTCTCCACCCAATATTCTTGGCATTATAACAATTTTGCCGATGCTGGAATGATAATTGCATAATCAAGGGTGATGAGTTGGCCTAACTCACAAGCAAACTAAAGGTAAAGGATTTTAGTGGGCGAGAAGAAATTATTGGGCGACAAGGTTTTAAAAATAAGCAAATCGAAAACATCAACGAATAACTATGAATTCATTTAGTTTTCTCATTCCATTATTATTAGATCTGCTGGTTCTTCCTTAAAATTGTCAGCAGAATTGAATATGAAAAAAATGGTAATAATAATGAATATGCACACACAGAGACA